TGCTTGATGTTCAATTCCACTTAAGTATATTCAAAATTTGGTTGAAAGTATGCTCCATCATATTCAAACATGTATAGCAGCTGAAGGTATTAGTTTTTTATTTTTTTTTTAATAAAATATATAGAAAATATTTAAAACAAATAAATTTTTTGCTTATTCTAAAAAAAAGTTAATATAATAAGTAAATTCAAATAGTTTAATTAATCGTTCAGATATCTATGATCACCCTCTGTAACTCATCATTGACTTGATCAGAATTATTATTAGTATTTCTTATTATGATTGTATTTATCTCTAGTTAGTATATATTCAATTTTGTGTCTGAAATACTGATCATCAATTGGAGCAGTAATCATTAGCTTAGAAGAATTTGCTGGATCACTTTTGTGTGATAAAAAAATAAGTGGATCACAGAACGGAATCTATGTGATATAATAATTTTCATATATTCTAAATGAAAAACATATTAACCTTTGTTCTTTATTTTTCCTGAACAATTATGAGAAAAATGTGAAAGAGCGTCTAATTGCAATACAGGACTAACTCTAAAAATAAATATTAATATTAAAAGTATATATTATGAAGGGCTGAGAGACTCACAATTTTGAGATCACCAGACGTAAGTTCAACTATGTGTCTTTCTGGTAGATCTCTATGTGAAAAGGTATGAGGATTCTGTTTATATGTGTTTTTATAGAACTCTTGATATCAGACAGCAATATTAATTATACCTTATACCTCTTTAACTCTTTTCTAGCAAAATATAAAGTATATAGGAGTATGTAGAAGTTCAGTTAACTTTTTCGCAAAATTTTAAGATAATATATTTTATTGTATATTTTTAGAAAAAAAATGTTTTAAAGGATTATTGCATCTGTACGAATGAAACTTTATTCACTATAGATATTAATATTTAAGAAAAGCAAAATGCCAAAAATCAGGCTTAATTGTCTTATTGTTCTTAGCAATTCAGTTAGAAGAATTACATAACAACATGTTATTACAATCAAAATTAACAACAATGAATCTGTCCATTCTTTTAGATTACAAATTAAAAAAAAACATACTTCCCGATTTGATAATATTCCAATTACTGAATTTGTAGTCTGTGTAATTCTCTTAAATTCAGATAAAGTGTTAGCATCGGTTAATGCTAAAAGAGTGATGATAAGTATGAATAGTGGGAGACAGGATAAAGAACAGGCGCTAATTCTAATACTCAGTATTTTTGATCATTTTTCTAAGCAACCTTCTGAAAAAGATATTCATATTATAATTTATTTAGATATAAAACACCTCATTAGTAAAATGATTCAAAAAAAGCAAGAAATTATTAATGAATTAGAAAAGAGAATCAGAAATCTTGAATTATTTATTTTTGATAATACTATTAAGTTTAACCATTATAGATAATAGCGATATAGTCGCAAATTTTTATGTATTATAAGCTGAGTTCTGGCAACGTATTTTTTTATTTTTTTAAATAAAGCATATATTATATTCTTGCTGTAAATATTATGTGAAATTATGTCGCCTGACCATTTTGTACTACATCTTAATTGCATATATATTGGGTAAAAGCATTAATTGATACAAAAAATCTATCATTTCTTTTCAAGCGTTAAAATCAAATATATTTTTATATCCATAACCAGTTTTATTTGTAATTGCAGTCAAGTGCATATTTTTTCGCAAGCATAAACCTATATATATAAAAACTATGTCTTTATAAGCTTCTTCACTCGCTTCACTTGCCTTAATAATAGAAGAAATTTCCACTAGAACAATATTAGACATTATTAAGAATTTTAATACAGAGGAGCTTATTGAATATTTGGGAAGGAAAGACCTGAAGCTCAAAGAATCTCACTTTAAAATTTTACGAAAGGAAGAAATTATTGGTCTTGTCTTTCTTGAATTAACGGAAGAAAAATTTCGCAATATTGATTTTACATTAAGACCGGCAACAATACTTGCAAAATTTATTGAAGGTCTTGATCAGAAGTTACGAAATTATTTCTTGCTTAAAACTCTTGATAACTTGAAAGAAATATTGCATAGAAATAAGATTAATGGAAAGGATATAACAAATATCAAGCAGTTTACTCCTGATATGTAATTACTCTTTTAATTTTTCAGATTGGAGTATTACATATATTAACTTATTTTTCTCTGCCTGCAGTCTTCAAGAAGATTAGTAATAATGATAAGGCATTTGAATACTGTATGGAAGACATTATATTAAAACTTTCAAATGTGAAAACTATGATCGATGCTAATAAGGTGATGCATTGTAAATTTATTTTAGCAATATTACATATTTCTATCACTATAGCTAAAAACTTTACCTCTCAAGATATATTCATAGTTTTGCAAAAAGATATTTCTGGTAAAAATGTAACAGGCTAAGTAGATTACACAATCAAAGTCTAGAAGAGTTCTTTTGTATCACTGAAAGAAAGTCACGTAATATTAAAATTGAATATGTTTAAGTAAGTCTGCTTATTTTTTTAGTATATTATTTTAATGAGAACAATTACAGCTTAAGGCACTCAGACAAAGGATGATGTTTATTTCTTAGAATCTGAAAATGCATTCCAAATAAATAAGAAAAAATGAATTGCAGATCAAGTATTTAATGAAGATTACTTTGACTATCTTTATAGTGTTAACAAAATAATTGACCAATCATAATGGAGTTATGTAGATAACGCAATATGATGATCTTTTAATCCAGAATTCTAAAAATACTAAGAATTCTGCAAATTCTGAAAATACAGAGGATCTATATAATTCTGAAGATCTTTTAAATACTGATTATAATCCTAATTTTACGAATTAAATAAAATCTAAGAATATTTAGTATTATATGTATTTTTAATATTCTAAATTTTATTGTTACTTTATTATATTTTATATTTTTATTATTTTATGTATTTTTATTATATTTATTTTATTTATATTTTATTTTGCTAAATTAATTAGTTTATAGCATAGTAATTAGTTAGCTATGACAAAAGAAATTTTGTATAAATAGATAGACTTTTTGCTTATATTGTAAATTAACACTTTTGCAGATTTGTAAACTCCTTTGTGAATATGAGTTTCAATATTAATAAAGGAATCATTTAAAACTTATATCTTTCTACCTCTTTGTATCTTTATATAGTCTGATGTGATTCTACATATTATTTGTAATTGAGTTTGTCATTAGAATCCTTTAATTAAAAATTGTTCATAATCTCGTCTTTCAAGTCTTCATACTTGATAGATTTGTTTCAGTCTAACGCGTAAATTTAGTAAAGTTAAGAGTTAGATGGATCCTAATATCTTGACCGCAGTAAGCTGCAATATGGAATTTTAAGTAGAGGCTTAATAACGTGATCATCTTAAGTTGAAGAATTTTACAGTAATAATGGCATTATGACCACAGAAATAAAGTAGTATTTTATTATATATATTCTGGACGATATTTATTGTACAAGTGGTAGTGAATATCAGATTAATCTCACAAAATCTGCCATTAAAGAAAATCCTGAATTACTTCGAAGTAATGTGAAAAGGGTAATAAGTATAATTGTTAGGCTACTAAAAGATAGGATTGGTATTGGTAGTTCTCTAACTAGCAAGAGGGTCAGAATCGAAAAATTATCAAAAAATAATAGTATAAATATTATGTACATATCATGAGCATAATCCTGATTTTGTATTTATTTTCACATATATTAATAAAAATTTTTTCTTGGCAAATTTCAGCCAAGGCGTCTTAGTCAAAAAACACATATTTTTTTATTTTAAATGCTTATATACATTGTATTAGTTATATATAGATCATGTTATCTAAGCTTGAATTATCAAAATAGCGTATTACTGAACTTGAGGCTGAAAACATAAATCTTAGAAAAAAGATTTCAGAGTTTAATGCTAAGAGAGTTAAATTTAAGCATAGAATTGCTAAGACTCTAAGAATAACTGAGGAAGAAAGAATGAGGTGTGTTGCTGAGAATGCTAAACTTAAGGCTAGAATTGAGAAGATGGAATCTGAATTTGGAGATAGAATCACGAAAGTGGAACAGAAGTAGACTCTGCAAAGTGCCTTAATGGCAAATGATAATTCTTCTAATAATAATTCACCTTGCTTCAATTCAGTTGCAATACTAGAGGTGATAACAGTACCTACTAACTCTGCGAAGCAACTGCAAAGTACCTTAATGGTTAATGACAAATCATTGAAAGAGAAAGAGATGGATAATTTCTTGGTTAAAGCAGATAAAAAAATCATTAGTGGTAGAATAAGGTAACGTAATAGGAAGAAGAAACTTAAAAAAGCAGAACAAGCGTCTCTTAACCAAGATCAAGAATCTGGTACTTTCAATCCCAAAGGGATCATACCAGCAGTATCAAATTTTGTGACTAAAATTTCAGCCAAGGCACCCCTGCCAAAAAATAACCATAGGAAAAAAGATGCAGAAAATATTTCTCAAATGATATCTGATAGTATTTAAAATGATTTATAGTCTCAAAAATATATTCTTAGTTTTTCTAATGATATATTATTACAATAAAGCCAAATTTCTTTTACAATACCACTGCTTACTTTAGTTTAATTATTCAATAAAACGACTAATGCTGAATATGGTGTAATTTATGCAAATCAGAAATAAATTTTGTGCTAGTACTACTATGAAAAGAAATTTATAACTTAAGTTAACGAAGGTATCAAAGATAACAAAATTGGTAAGAAAAAAGCGAAAGGAATTATTTATAATAAAATATTAAAGAATCTTTCCATTCTCTGTAAAAAGAAATCTGAGGAAACAAGTTTATAACTCTTAGAAATCATATATAAATACTTGCAAGGGAAAACTCAGAAAGCTATAAAGATATATAATTTATTTGAAAAGGTAGATGTGAACAAAATTAAGTATATTATAACATATATTGTAAATGCTATTTCAAAGTTGACTAATAATAAACTTCAAGAGATTATAGATAATTGTTCACTCTATGAACATCCAAAAGAATTGCATCACATGTTACCAAAAGATGAGTCTTCAATTCCTGAAATTTTCAAAAAAATCTTACTTGAAGTAAATATATCAATTACACCTATACCAACTGAGAACGTCTTTACGAAGTGCCTGTGAAACATCTTAATGGCTAATGGCAATTCTTCAGATGATTCTTCTAGTAGCTGTGAATACATCACCTGTGTCTTAAATAAATGTATCTAATCAATCCAGATTTCCAATTTCTATCTTGCCTGATGATCTAGAAGAGAAACAAAAATATATCATTAGATTGGTATTAGAGTAGTTTTCTTCTCTATTTTTAATTGATAGTAGTGAATGTTGCAAGTGGTTCAATTTTAATAGTTCAACATTTTACCTTTTATGTAATGGAGACCATAAAGAAGAAAGCTTATGAAAGGATATAAAAGGTAAATAGGGTGATGGTAACTATTGCGAAAAATGAACTTATCGTATCAAATGCAAAAATTTACTTAATCGTAAAACTCCAATAGTATCTGTAAAAGCATAGACTTCATCATGTGTACAGATCACCTGAAATGTATTCTTGTTGAAGAATAGGCTATTCATCATATAGGTTTATTTCTTTTTTTAAATCATGTAGGTAGCTTAGATAGCATGTAAATGTCATCTATATTTTCTTTTAGTATCCTACAGTAAGACGTCACTGGTTTATATGAATTATATCTGCAGAATATTCTATGCATAGTAGTATGTCACTGGCATTCGCAGTCATAGAATCTATTAATAAACCCAGTCAAGAGTAATATTTTTGTATTGCTATACTGATGAACTTTCTTCAGAGTTCTGATATGTTCTATCTCACTCATTACGCAGTTCTAAATTACTAATAAAAAACTACATCCCTGATTTACATTTTGTGGATTGTAAGATAGGGCATTGATAAAAAGAAATTTAAAAATGGAAATAGAGCTGATTAGAATCAATGATTTACAGATCCTCAGACAACCGGTATATTTTTATTATTCTACTAACATTAGTGCATTCAAATTACATGTATGGATAATAACACATTAATCTGTTTTTGAATAGGAATTAGTGTGATTCATCATCTACAGATTCTTGACCTACGGTCAAGACAAATATTCTGATTTTTTCTGATTACAATTGAAATAGGGAGTGTAAATTCAAACAAAGATGCATCACATGTGATCTTCTATTTCGCAAGAGATTTTAGAAATAAATGGAAAATTTTGAGACACAGCATTGCTCCATTAGTATTATATCAAGTTGTCATAAAACCGTAATTTGTCAGATTTTATTTTAAGCACTATTGTTAAATGCGCCTCAAATTCAGGGAGGAACATTTGTTATTATTAGATAGGATCCAAGCTGTTAATATTGCTTTAGCTGAAAAAAATATAATTATGAAAAATGTAATTATGACAAATACACATAATAAAGCAACATAATTTTATTAAATCGGGTTAAATACTCTTTTCGCGCGTATACAGTATAAAATAAACCTTTTCCCCAGCGCATTTACGCAAGAGATTGCATATTAAAAAAAGTATATCTAAAAAACTTGATCCACCAATAAGATCTCTTAATAAAATTACTACGCCTAATCATATCCAGTTTGTCATTTAACCGCTGTTTTTTTGTTTATTGGTTCAGTGTTATTCATGGGGATCGCTACCATGTGGTCAAATCTCAAACAAAAAATTTCTGATGAACTTTCTGCACGTGTCACTAGAATCATCAATGATCTTGATACAAAAAATAATACACCGGAGGAAATCGTTAAGACCTTTATTGAAATAAACAAAAAGTTTATGGCAGAATTCAATACCAAAATCTCTAATGAAGTCACCACACGTCTTTCTAAAATTAATGCATCTTTCACTGCGGAGCTCAGAAGAATTAATAACGAACTTATAGCAGAAATCAAAAAATTAATTCACGTGATGCTGACTATACCTCTGAGGCGCAGAAAATTTTATCGATAGTCAATAATATCGAAGAAGCCTGCCGTAATAATTTTACCTCAGTTAATACTTCTATCGATGCTCTCCAAAACGGATTAATTCAATATTATGCAATTGCCAGAAGAAATCTGCCAGTCAAAACCAACAACCATTCTAAAGCATCATCCAAAAGTTCATCTAACTCGGGCCCAATAACATTCAAGGGTATTAGCTTAAGTATCTGAACTCAATTCAATGATATTTTCGATAAAATCAAAGGCAGATAAAAATTTTAACTTAGAAGAAATGTGTTTTCGCGTAGCAATGGAAATTCGCGAATTACGGTTCAAAGGTTTTATGAGAGAAATATCACGAAGAAAGATGGTTTACATTAGTACATTAGATGATATCGGTTTATGGGTAGATAGTAAAAATAACAAAAACTTAGTACTATAGCGCAGATTAGCGGGAAGGAACTCTCATTTTATGGGTTAAGGCTCGAGTGATTCCTCCCTTGAAACATCCGCTACTCCATATTTAGATAAACTTTTTACATTTTTAACTTATTTACAAAAATAAAGATGTGCATGTTTTATTAAAATTGATTATGCATACTTACTCGAAAATATGAATTTTATGTTACTACAGTTTAATCTAATGTAATTATAATAAATGCGGAAATACTAAAAACATTTATTTTTATATAGTGATTTCATATACATTATTTCAGAACACTGATCAGTTGAATCTGCAATAAAAATTTTACATTATTCTGATTTATTTCTTTTTTTAGACGAGCCTTGATTTTTACTTCTATGACTAGAAATAAAAAATTCTTACATTAGAATGCATTTGTTGCCAACTCTAATGTGAAAATATACGCCTAAGATTTTCCACTAGTCTCTCAATGGTCTCTCCAAAAACATGCTTAATATTACGATCATCGACAATAATCACAAGATCACCATATTCATTTAATCGAAACAATTCAGTTCTTTTGCCAGATCTTTTGCCAGCTCTACGTGGAAGTTCCACTGAAACATAAATATGTTTTCGATTTTTAATGAAAGTATTGATTTGATTGTGTTTAGAGAAATCAGATATTTGGTAATTCTTGGTGTTTTCGGTGTAGTTCAAATCATAATCCAAACCAATATAATCTAATTTTTGGTCTTGGCCATACTCTTTCTCCTTCTCTTGGCCATACTCTTCCTCCTCCTCTTGGCCATATTCTTCCTCCTCCTCTCCTTCTAAGTTGTCCTCTTCATCAACTATGTCATCCTTCGGTAAATCAGCATTAAGACTAATTTTGAGGCGTTTAGGTTTCTTCTTTCTATCAGTTGGACATTCAATATATTGAAACCTCAAACATGATTTAATTAACTGATCTTTGACTTTTTTTTTCTTAATAGAAACACTACTAGAAACTGTACTGCCTACCGATAATAGCACCACATTTTGCTTATCATCCATGAGAGAAAGTACCACATCTGATCCTGAGCGCTGTTCTGGTTGAATTGCGTAAGAACTATAGGTCATAATATTTTTAACATATTGAGTTATATGAACGCTATCTGATAGATTTGAAGTTGTAATAAACTTCATTGTGGGAGTGATCCATGAAGGAAGGTCAAATTGTTGTCCATTTTTCCATTTATCAAGTTCTTCTCGTATATAACGATTGCGTTTCTCAATGATTGCCGTAATAAAGACCGCATCAAATTCATTGCCGATTGATGTAACGTTATTGAGCATGATGATGTTATCAACAAAGACATCTATCATTTTTTTATTTCGTTTTTGCTCAAGAAATAATTTAATGCTGTCAATAAGGTAAGATTCAAACGATGAGTTTATTTCGATTTCATGATCAATTTTAGAATTATATTTGAGAACAATGCATACTGGTGATTGGCAAGGAATGATGCTGTGCTGGAGAAGTTCTATAGCTTCCTTGAACTCATGATGATAAAAAACACGATGTCTAAGAACGTCCATAATTGCTTTCTCTGAATGGAGATTATCCGCACCAAAATATTCACACGCGTTCGCCAAATAATCTGCCATGGAAGAGCAAATTTCGTGTTGCCACAACGGAATAAGTTCTCGTAGCACTTGATCTTTTGTTTTACCATTTGATCTCGGCGTTGATATTAACAGTCGAACAAATGATGCGCAGTTTCGAGGTCGCCCCATGAGAAGATTTCCCAGGAGTTCGCGAGTTTCGGTTTTAACATGCTCAAGGTCAATTACGGCATCAAGGTTCCGCAAGACATCATCAGGCGAGAGAAAGGGAAGTTTTAGCACAATATGAGTTTGCAAATTTGGATCTTTTCCAACAGAAGTGATAAGAGAAATTCCACTCGCCATATGCATGTATGTGCCAGCAAGAAGGCAGGTAACGGGAAATTGGAGAAGGTGCGCTACATAACCTTGCAAAAGATTCCAAGATTTGCCACGATTTGACCCTTTATATTTTCCATATTCGGATGAACATAAGACTTGCGACTCATCAAGTATTAAGGTTAGATTAGCTAATTTGAGACAAGCATTAATTTTCTTGATAAGTATAATAGTAGTATCAGGATCATATTTTCTAAGGCGTAAGATACTTCGAGTTTCAGAATCATTCATTTGAAGCTGTGCCAATAGCCATTCCTTTGGTGTTGAAACTTTTTCCTCAATAAACATCTTAATAAGTAAAAGTCCGCGTGAGAGTATTGCTATGTTTAACATGCGAAATGCATCAATTTGTTGACCATCGAGTTCAAACTTAGGTTTTATACGTCTGATTTCTTCAAGCTCTGTTATCAAATGGACGCCATAATACCCTATAATAGGAGAAAAATCAATATAGATTGACCAACGTTGCATGGCAATTCCGAATGTTGTCGATGTTTTTCCACCTCCTGAGACCCCGGCGAGAACGATTATGTCTTTCGGTCTTTCTTTAATCTTATCTTCCACAAAAGAAACCGTTTCTCTGAATTGTGGGTCATTATAGAAGGGATTGTGATAGTTCTCTCCGGATTTATTGTAAGAAGGGAGGCACAGATCAACGTTTGTGAAAGTTCGTTCGGTTATACCACGGGGCAAGCTTATTTTGAAAAAAGAGGGTGCCGTCCTCAGTTCAACATACGGATCATTTTGTGAAACTGTAGAGCCACTTTCTAATGCCTCAATGTCCCAAATCAAGGCGAGCGCGTCAATAAGTTGGTCAATTGAAAGAATATTCATGTGTGGAAAAGTCTTTATAACTAAAAAACAAGAGTGGACGTGAGCGAAAAATCGTTTAAAAGAACCAAACTCCTAATGCAACGAACCTTTGTTTTTAATTTCAATTTTAACTCCGTCAGGAATGACGTGCATCGGCGAAACTAATGCAGTGAAATAAAAAGAAGTTAAAACACTTGAAATCCGCCTGTTATTGTCGATCGTAGACTTAAGCCTACAAAAAAGCCATTTTTGTTCGAGAGGTAAATCGTTAGGAGACACTCACCAATAGTGGCCGGAGGTTGTACGATGATGCGGATTTTTTTGGAGACATTACGCGCAAAAATGTCATCAATATTCTCAAATGGTGTTAACTTTGTTCCTCCAAGCTCTTGTATAGTAGTATCTTCTTCATTTATATCACGAAATCTGCTTTCAAGTGTTTTCAGTTTAGGGTTATTGTAAGGAATATCCACCTTCCATAGGTACAACTTGTTGGCGTCAACATGTATTTCTTTGAAATAGTTCTTATTCTTCTCATAGATTATGTCCCTTAGGTTTGAAACGCTCGTTCCTGCCTGACATGTAACTTCAAAAGCGCTCACAATTTCGTTACCTACCACAAAACAATATGCCATGATATTGGTGGTATATCTGCAAACGCGAAAATTCGAGTTAAAAACAAGGGTCAAGAAATCAACCTTTCAATAAAATATCAAATAAAGACCTTTTGTATATTTTGTATACAATCTTGTATTTTCAGGTGGGAAAATTTCCTCGATTTCAGTTTGTACTGATGAATTCGCTTGATCGATATCGATTCATCGTATTTATATTAAATGATCAGGAGTTACGTTTTTGTGTGGTATAATGGTTTCGATCTATGATCTTGGTGAAACTTAGGTGGGGGTTCAGTTCTCGCTGAATCGGTTAACTTATTTAATTACGTAATTATGACAAAAGTCCTCACTATAAATAATACTGTTCGAAGCGCCAAAATGTTTGGTGAAGCCCAGAAAAAAATATAAATTCTAAGTTATGACTGGAATTCGTGCGCAGATTTGGTAATAACTTATGATGAATTTGCTATGTTGGCCGAAATTTAAGAATATTATTATTTAATCTAATGAACAACGCTTTAAACTTTATAGCAAAAATAGGGTCGTTTAATCATTCGAATGACATGCCAATATTGAACGTATAAAATGACGAAAAACAATTACAGAGCAATCTGGGGCTATTTATAAAGAATTTGGTGTGGGAGATCTCATGTGATAATTTAGCCGTTACATTGGCTCGGAACTAATTTAACCGAATCACGAGAAAATTATGAATCTAGTTCTTTGAACAAGAAGACGTAATCAAATAAAAATGAATCCGATATTTTGTGCTATAAATCACTAAATCGGCTATAAACATTTAAATGGTTAGAACTGACCATCGATATGGTTTAAATCCTGTGCGATAACTAATCTGCATTACAGATATAGTGATGAAACGCCAAAAATGTGGTATTCCCAGGGTTGTAAAATTACCGTAAGATTCGGGATGTCTGTGTAAGTTACGTAAGTTACATAAGTTACGGTAAGTTACCGGTTACACGTTCCAAATTTAGAAATCTCATAGTTTATTTAAAAAAAAATATTTTTTTCACGGTTTTCTTCAAAAAAAATAATAATCGTTTTATTTTTTAAAATGTAACTAAATATTGAAATAAAATTTTACGATCGATTGATTATCTTCGAAATTGTGGCAAATATCTTAATATGGTGAAGAAATTGGAATTTTCGCTATATTAAGATTTAATACTACCTTTTTGATTCAAAAATTTATTCCCCTTTTTCTAATTTTTTGAATACCGCGAGTAAAAAAATGCCAAGAACCAAAGGAAATTTTTGGAATGAATTTGAGCAAATATCGAATGAAAATAATGAAAGTTCTGAATAATGGCAGTGTTTACATTGTGGTCAACAATGGGTTAAAAATGCAAGTCATTTATCCAAGCATTTAGAAAACTATAAAAAGTATCAGGATAGTTTAAATCAATCTGAACCTTTATTTTCACCTCCACTAACAACAAAATGATGTAAAATGGGACAACAAATGATTCTTGATGGATATGCATATACTTTTAGTCAAAAAGATTAAGAAGAAATGGAAAAACTTTAGTGCATGCCTTTTATTCAGCTAAAATTTCTTTTAATATAATTGATAATCCTGATTTTTGTATATTTCTTAAAAAAGCATGTTTAGCATTTAAGATTCCTTTACGACATAAATTATCAATCACCATTTTAGATGCAGAATACAACTCTTTAAAAAAAAATGTAGATGATGTATTAGAAAAAAAGGAATACTTATGTATTACAAGTGATAGATGGTCAAACATAAAGAAAACTTCTATTATCAACTATATGGTTACAATTCCACAACCAATTTTTTATAAATCAATTCCTACACATGAAGAACAACATACCATGAAAAATATTTCAGCAGAAATTAAATAAACTATTAATGAAGTTAGTGAAAAAAAGGTTGTTACTATTATTACTAATAATACATCAAATATGAAAGCTGCATGGGAGATTCTTAAAAATGAATATTCACATAAGGTAATTATTAAAATATATTAATTAAATTAAATAAATAAAATCGTTAATAAAAAAATTTGTATATTTTAGATATTTTTGGGTTGTTGGGCTCACGGAATAAATTTATAGATTAAAGATATTATGAAACTTACTTGGTCTGAAAATTTACTTCAATTTGCAAAATATATTATTAATTATTTTCGAAAATATCAAGTTCTTCTTGCTGTTTTACATCGATTATAAATGGAAAAATATGGTATACATATTGCATTATTATTACCTGAACGAACACAATGGGGATCAGCATATTATTGTATTAGAAGTCTTATTAAAATAAAAGTTGCACTACTTAATACACTTTATGAAGAAGAAATTGAAGTAGATTTACAAATAAAACAAAAAATTCTTGATGATTCTTTTTGGCAAAATTTAAGAATTTTATGTGATTTTCTTGAACCATTTGTAAAATTTATTAATCAATTACAATCAGATCAACCAAGATTATCTACAGCATATTCAAATCTTCGAAAAATTGAACAATTAATCACACAAAATTCTGAAATACCTAATGATGTTTAACAAAAGTCATGTGAATTTGGAAAGTCCCGATGGAATAATTTTCTTTATAATCCTATTATTATAGTTGCTTATAAACTTGATCCACAATATTATGGTGAAACACTTAATACTATACAATGGGATAGATTTTTAGAACATGAAATTATTCAGATGACACCTGAAAATGAACATGATGCTATTATTATAGAATATTCAGAATATGTAGGAAAGTTAGGAGGATTTTCTGAGAATCATTTATGGGGCAATTTAACTAAAAAACCAATTAATTGGTGGAAATTAGTTGCAAGACAATATCCTGTATTAAGTAAAATTGCTCTTAAAGTGTTATCAATACTGGCAACTTCAGCAGCTAATGAACGTAATTGGTCAGTATTTGGGTTTATTCATAACAAATTACGGAATAGAATGTTAGATCAAAAAGTTGAAAAATGTGTTTATTTTTATTGGAATATAAAGGTTATGAGAGAAATTAAAGGAAAAAAAAGAAAGAATATAACAAGTGAATTAGAAAATATTGAAGTAGATAAAGATAATAATGATCAATTTAATAATTTTTTTATAAATAATTTTGATGTAAATGAATTAGATATTGAAAGTGATAATGATGAATAAATAAATAAATAAATAACGTTTATATGTTTTATATATTATATAATTTTAATTTTCTTAATTTTGGTCAAAGTTAAATTAATGCCAGCCTATTAATAAAATATAACTTACATTATCTACTGGTAACTTACCGTAAGTTATATTGGTAAGTTATAAGGTGTAAGTTACATTTACAATCCTGGGTAAGCTCTAACAAAATTTTTTTGTTAATTTTTTTTTTTAATTTTTTTTAAAAATAAAAACTAATATTCACTTAACTTTACAGACCAATTTGGATTCTTGGGGCATTAAGTCAAAGTTAAGCTTTATATTAATATTTTTTTTTAATTTTTTTTAAAAATAAAAATTAATATTCATCTATTAGAGAAATTTGTTAGTTTCTTTTTTTTATAATCTTAAAAACTAATACTAAACTTACCTTTGTAAGACAGTCTGGATTCTTGAAATTCTGGATTAGAATTGATCAGAGGTAAGAATTATTTAGTATTTTTTTTTTAATCTTAAAAACTAACACTAAACTTATCTTTGTAAAATAGTCTAGATCCTTTAAGCTTTAGATTAGAATTGATCGAAGATAAATTCTAATAAAGAATTATTTAGTTTTTTTTATTAATTTTAAAAAATTAAACTAATATTTACTTACCTTTATAAATGATCTAAAATCTATAAAACTTAGAATCTCAGATCGGAGGTAAGTTTCTAATTAGAAAAATTTGTTAATTTCTTTTTTATAATCTTAAAAACTCACTAAACTTACCTTTGTAAGATGATCTGGATCCTTGAAACCCTAGATTAAAATAAAATCAGAGATAAGTTTTAATAGAGAATTAATTATAATTTTTGTTAATTATAAAAATCAAACTAATATTAAACTTACTTTTGTAGACCGATCTAGATCTTTGAAGCATTGAGTCAGAGATAAGCTCATAACAGAATATTTGTTAGTATTTTTTTTCTTTAATTTTTTTTTTAAAAAATCAAACTAATATTTACTTACCTTTGTAAACTGATCTGAAATTTATAAATCTTAAAATCTTGAATCAAAAATAAGTTTCTAATTGGAGAAATTGTTAGTTTGTTAGGTGATAAAAAAGGAATAATGAATATTTTTTTTTTGTTTAGTTTGTTAGGTGATAAAGAAGGAATAAGGGAATATTTTTTTTTTTGTTATAGGAATAATACTAATATTTTATTCCTTTTTTTTATAGGTTAAATACCAGAGCTTCTAGAATATTTTATTAAACTTTTATATATTTATTTTATAAGTTATGTAACATTTTAATAAATAGATCATTTTTTATATCTTTTGCACCTAATCATAAACAAAAAAAAATAATATTTGTATTTTTTATTTTTAATAAACACATATACACAGGGTTGGGAAATTAGTATAGTTAGTACAGCTTAGTACAGCTTAGTATAGTTAGTACACATAATAATTAATATAAAATTTAGTACAGTACAGTACAAGTACAAGGTCAAAATTTGCCTAGTACATACAAATTTCCCAACCCTGCATATACAGTCCCCAGCGAAAAGAATAGCAATGGAAGACCGCATCTATTTTAGGCTGCAATTTCACCACTTTCTGGATTTAGGCATTTGTTTATATGCTCAAATTGGACATTAAAACCTGAATTAAAAAGGTAAGTTAAAAAAATAAGGTTTGTTATTTGTTTTTATTTTGATTTTCTTTCTGAAACTATGCCAAGCTCTTTAAAATATAAAAAAATTCTGTTAAGTCACTATAGGATCAAAAAGTGCGTAATGCAAAAGAAATTTCTAATTAATTGTGCATTTCTTTGCACACATTAAACAATATATCAGTTTACTAAATAAAACTGGCAAAATTTCTATTG